ATCAAAATGGAGGGTTCTGTATGTTTTGCGAAACGTGGATAGAATTTGTATTTTTATGTGACACATGATTTAGCCTTTGAATTTTTACGTGAAACGTGATTGCTTGCTTTTTTCTGTGAACGTGAAGCCGCTTTTCGAATTTTTCGTGATGCGTGAAAAGGCCAATTACTTATGCGTGAAATTGTTTTCAGAAGAGGTATAGGGGACACTCTTGTTTCTGTTTAGCACATACCCGTTGTAAAGATTTCAAAAAAAGACAGGAATAAAACAGTTCAATTTGCTATCATAATGAATTATCTTATTACGATAAAATATATCTCTGAACACTACATCTCTGAAAGCTACATTTCAACCCATTTCGTACATATACCACCCCTAGAAATCTTTTCATTAAAATTATACAGTAAAACATTTTTAGTTAAGGTTTGTTGCATGGAAACATCGATAAACCTCTTGGGAATCTCGGGTAATTTTAACATCACGAGTTTTACTGAGTGCTTTTTGATTGTGACCTGTGACCTGTGATCTGCAAAAGAAACCTGCCGTCTGATAAGTTTAATGTTAACTCGAAATCCTTCTCCTACTTTTTTAACAACGCAAATTGATCAGTCAAGCCCAGGTGACTTCGTCCTCTACAGGCCCTGGAAAGCGCCGGGAAAAAGGGTTTATACTACTTTAATTTAAACTCGAGCGTAACCGGAGTCAGTGTAAAATTTTTGCCCCTCAAAAAAAGATAAAGCTTCATTTGCCGACCAACTTCTGGTCCTGTTTTTTCTTGCAAATTTCCATGTACGTGTTGAATGAAAATATATTTGGGACATTCGCGTTATCTCAGCCAGTGAAATCCGAAACTGTTTATTACATTTGTCATCGTTACTAGTGTACTGGGTTCTCTAGTTCCCGCGCGTACAGCTGCCATATCGGGAACGGTGGTTTACTAGTACGTCAGAACATAGGCTTTGCAACTCTATTGACCAATCACAGCGCGTGTAGTATCTAGCTATTATATAAAGATATATATCCAGATTCCAGGAAACTAGAGATGTAATGCGGAATCGAAGACCTCCTCCAACTTTTACTAAAATGATTGATCATTACCAATTACACTCTTAACTCTTGGCTTTTGACATCATACCTCACCGTTGGTGCTATAATTTAGTTATTATATATCTTCTCATCTAATAGCTCCTTGCCCAGACCCTGGCCTTCCCTATCAAGGAAACAGGATTGGCGATGACTTTCGTCATGACAGAACAGTTACGTTCACGTGTCCTAGAGATTACCGTATGGAGGGTGTGCAAACGATAACATGCTCAGACGGACAATGGAGCAACAGAAAGCCAAGTTGTAGGGGTAAGTTTTTTTTCTTTTAAACAAAAACCACACCGGGCCAGCAGAGGGCTTGAAGCTGCACCCTCAGAAAAATTTTTGGGTGTTTGATCCAATGATAGAACGTTTTATCCCAAACAATCCTTGTTTTTTGTTTTCCTGATTTTAACGGTTTTTGGTGAGAAAATGACGTCACCGTGCTAAAGGCAAATTTTCATTTCTCTGTTATGGCACAAAAAGTACACAGAACTCGTTGAGATAAAGTGGAACGCGAAAGAAATATGGAAAATCTCATCCGCCTAGAAGATATAAGACTTGGAAGTTTGAAGTTCTCGTAATTTCCTTACTATTCGTTGAACATGTACAAAATTCAATTTTTTGCCGAGGGTGTAGCTTCAAGCTACCCCTTTGTCGACCCGCAGTGACCCAAGGTAATCGAGTCTGACCTATTATACTAATAAACACACACAAACGAAAACCTCACTGAACTCGAACTAAAAGCGAAAGCAAAAGAGAAAAGGCGTAAACACTGAACTATTGGTGTTGGTTTTGCTAAGCGCAAATGGAAAATAACTTCCTCTAATTTATCATTTTGAACAAATCATATATGACTCGAAAGCGAGGCATCAGAGGCATGCTTTTCACCACTCTCACTCGTCGATTGAGAACTAGTAACAAAATTACTAAGGTAACCAGGCACTGCCTGCAAACGCGTCGTCTAGCCAAATCGCGTTCTGATTAAATAGATAACTTCCGCCACTGGATCAGGATGATGTTGAAAAGTTACGACTTTGGACAGTTTTTTTGTGAATTCGATGACTTCGTCTTGAGAAACATTCAGTTAGGACAACAACAAACCAAAAATAAGAATAACAACAACAACAACAAAAAACAAAACGAAATACTCGGCAAGAAATTGATACCCGAACAAACAAACAACCAAACCTAAGAAAGAAAATCGTTTTATCTGATTTTTCTTGTTTTATTCCACAGCACCGTGTGCCAAACTCGCCCCGACAGCTCATGGCTGGAGATCAGGAGAAGACGACTTCAGACATGGGGCCTCTGTGAAGTTTTATTGTACACGTGGCTATACAAGGGTTGGTGCCTCTTCCATCACATGCTATGATGGTAACTGGAACAATCCAGCTCCAATCTGCAAAGGTTAGACTAAACTTTAAACAAGTTTAAGCTTTGGGATTGCGCAAAAGAAAAACAACATAGAAACATCGAACACTGATAGAGTTTTCGGTTGAACAGGTATTTGCCCACCACCACCGAGAGCCCCATACAATGGAAGAATACTTGGGGACAAGGATCGATTTCTCGAGGGCGATGAAGTTGCCTATTCCTGTAATAGCAACTATGACTTGTCTGGAATCGACAGAATACGCTGCGTTGGAAAGAACTGGGATTCCACTAGTGTACCAGTTTGTAATGGTGAGCTTGTTCCCGATAGATGACCGTCATCGTTAAAATTTGATCATATTTGTATGTACAGTATTTGTATAGTGCACGAAATAGAGACAAACCTTTTCTAACCCTTGGAAAAAAAAAATTGCTCGAAGACTTAAATTAAACTGCAGATTTAAAATGTGTATTTTGAATTATTGAGAGCTGCTGCACTTTAGTACGTGATTTTAATCGAGCAAATCTATTTAATTTGACTTATGCAAAAGGGGAGTCAATGGATTAATCCATAGACTGTGATGAACCAGGATTATTACTTTTGTATTTTTGTATTTAAACAGTTCAAACACTATTCTCATAAGTTATTGTCCATTGAAGCTATCTTGTGGCAACTTTTTTAAAGTACATTATCTTCCTAGCTCGTTGCAGTTTTTCAAGAAGACCCGGAGGAGGTTTGTATGTGGAAGGCAGAAGTAAGAACAATGAAATGATCAAGCACGGTGAAAAAATAACTTACGGTTGTCTACGAAATTACAAGATGATTGGATCTAAGACACAGGAATGCGACAATGGACGTTGGACCAGTGATGCTCCAGTTTGCAAAGGTCGGTTAATAAAATCATTATCAGCAATATTAACTTTGAACTCGATACATACCTTAATTCGACATATGTTCCTGAGAGTATACACATGTACGAGCACAATCCTACTACAGATATGCGTGCATGACTGTTACTATTCTTGATAAATCAACAGCTGAAATTATGAAGAGATTTTGGAAATTTCATTCAGTAAAAATTTTCCAGTAAGTTTGAAAATAAACAGTGCATTGCGACTTTCCCCGAGTTATTATTTTTGGTGACAGCAACTTCATGCAAACGGTGGTAATTACAGATATTTAAAAACCGAGCTCAAGAAAGAATGAGATTTCTTGAAACTATCAGAGGAATATTGGAAAGGAGATAAGAACGTTACCGTTGTGCTCAATACCACTTGAGACATTTCTCTCAGAGACACCAACTGCGGAGCCCTATGTACTGAAACAAGAGGAACAGAACCGAAAATCAAAAGTTTGATGGAGTTTGTAGCTTGGGGATTTCAAACTTCTTAGCGCATGTACAAAACGTTTAAGAGTCATTTGTTTAAAGAATTTAATACGAAACTATATATCTTTACGTAAAGTTATTATATGGCAAGATAGGCTTCAAAATATATCCGAGCGTTCTGATTGGACTGATTGGTATGTTGAATGTTTTGTTTCCGAAAGCCGACAAGTGCCATCATATTATAAACTACTTACTAACCTAGCTTGCTCGAGAAGTACTTGCAAGAGTAGCGATCCATCTTTTTTTGTATTTCTCGAGTCGGCAGCACCAAACAATATGTAGCTGATATAAAGGGACTTTGTCCGACAGTTCAAGCATTTGGATTGATGACCTCGGTAACCCAATTACAAACTCGCCCCTCAGAAGATACTCGCTATAGACCCATCAAAGCATCTCTATTTTTATTTTCTAGCTTTCTGCCTATCTCCTGGTGATATTATTCACGGGAAAAAGATCGGTTCTGATTACAGGCACGGCGAAACAGTTTGGTATCAATGCGATGCAAGGTATACACTCAAAGGCAACGACAGACTGACATGCAATGATGGAAGTTGGAACCTCGATCCCCCAGAATGTAAAGGTAAATAAAAAAAAAATGCAAATACTTAATAATGAAATTTCAAATGTAATTATCCTTTATTTTTCCCTCAGAAACACATTTCGCTAATAAAATTCTAAATTATTTAACAGTGTTAACCCTTTTTCGGCCAGGGGACGTTTTGGGCCTAAACGAATTATAGCAACTTGAAGCTTTGAAAGCTTGAAGCGTTGGACTCCAAACTTTGTGGATTTTCATGTCATTGTTCAAGGAATTTGCCATGATTTTTTTTTTTTTTTTCCGAATGTAGTACTGAATTCTTTATTCCGGCTACTCGAGGTTTATTGAATGAGTATCTTGCCTTTTAGCACCATGCGACAACCCAGGAACACCACCTAATGGACGCATGCAAGGAAACGACTTTAGACACGACTCGTTTGTGGTATTTACTTGCGATCGAAGTTATCAACTAGATGGTAGTAGAAATATCCACTGCAATGATGGCTCTTGGAGTGGTTCTGTTCCTAATTGTGTTGGTAAGTAAATCTGTGTTTTACACTTGACATACATTTGGACAGTCTCAGTTCAACGTAATCGCGATGGAGCCACAACCGTTATTTTGGGAAACCTCAGTCAGGCTGAAATAT